AAGGAAAGGAAAGGAAAGGAAAGGAAAGGAAAGGAAAGGAAAGGAAAGGAAAGGAAAGGAAAGGAAAGGAAAGGATCTATTTGAGCTATTGGTGGACAATATTTTGGGTATCCAATATTGCAGTGGGTGGAATAATGATGCAAAGCGTCTGGGTTGTATGATTTTTCCCTTGTGGTTGGAGGTAGTTGGAGGGGGGGTCTCTTTATTTTATTATACTATGTTAAGCCAATTTTAGAGATTATGGAACAGTTTTTGAGTTTTTCCCTTTCAAACTGCCACCAGTTCTTCTCAACTATGATGGGGGGGGCAGTCCACAGAAGATGATCTTAGGGACTTAAAGCTGTCTTCTTTAAGATTTTGGCAGGGAGAAGCCATCAGAGGGGGGGGGGGGGGGGACCACCATTGAATAGCCTTCTTCAATCTGATGCTTTCTAGATTGTACCAGAATTTCAGCCAACATAACCACTGGCTATGAAATGCTAGAAGTTGGCATTTTAACATAACTTAAGGGCATTAAAAGGTGTCAGACCTTCAGGGCAAACCAGACTAGGGAACCAAAGTCATGCAGGCGAATAATACTTTTATTATAGAGCTGTTGTAACAGAATCTTGCAAATCTGAATGTGCTCCCTCCCTCCCTCCCTCCCTCCCTCCCTTTATCTTCATGAGAACTAGGGAAGGTATTGTCTGAGAGGCTTTTGCGGGTTAGGGTTTGGGCCCATACTCAGATTTCTTTTATCTGATCATTATTTTTGTTGCAATTCTTTCTTCTGTTCCTCTAGGTTCTTCCTTCTTCCCATTACAGAAGACTGGCATGGCAGAGATTTAACACGAAAGCACGCCTAGGAGCATGTCTCCCCAAAGTGCCCCAGCAATGAGGTTGCTGTTCTTTCTTCACCATAGTGGGGGTACCTTTGAAGATGCCTTCTTCTTCTTCTTCCTAGGCAGGAGCAGGTCACTGAAACAGCGGTATGCTTGGAAACCATCCCATTTCCACATCTCAGAAGGGCGTGTAGATGTCATAGGCAGAAACCGACATTGCCTTTGGGGTGGCAGCAGAGGCGAGACATTGGACTCCTACTGGAGGGTAGACATTTGGCTCCATAAGGATTCCATAAGTTGTAGAAAGCACACAGGGCTGGGAATCGGGGTATGTATCATATCCCAGCAGGTTTGGAGCAAGGGGATCCAGGCCAAGCAAGTTCTCCTTGGCGATGGGTTCAAAAAATTCATCGGGCTCTGGCATGAGTGACTCAGGCGAGAGGCACCAACTGGGGCTTGGGTCTGGAGCCGCAAAAGCTTCCGCTATGCCTGAGAAAGAGCCAGATGAGGTCTGGGCTGGCTGGGATGTGTGGGGCTTCAGAGGGGCCGTTTGCTGGAGTGCCTTAGGCAGTGCCAGAGCTTCTTGCGAAAGGATGGAGGAGGCCAAGCCGTGAGTTGCAGCCTCGATGTCCGAAAAGCTTCTGGAGGTGGGAGGAAAGGAGAAAAAAGCAGTGAGGTTTCCTGCAAGAGCGAAAAGCATTAATGAAATGCTAAAAATTATTCACAGCAGAGTGTTGGGTGGGGGAGAATGACTGTAGCCCAGTGTTGTCCAAACTT